GGAAAGGGGAAAACGGGGGGCACGGGGTCTTTTTAGGAGGAGGGGTGGTTCTGGCTGTCTCATGACGGACTGTGGGCACTGGGTTCGTCTCAGAAGGACGAAGGCACGGGGGTCGAAAGGGGAAGGGGCGAGGGCATGGGGCGTTCAGAAGACGGTGGGCACTGGTTCGTTCAGAAAGGACTGGGGGTACTGGGGGTTCCAGGAAGGCCGGGGGGCACGGGAGTGTTCGGGAAGGGCTGAGCACGGGGGTGGTTCATAAGGAAGGTGGGCACGGGGGTCGTTTAAAAGGAAGGGGGGCACGGATCGTCCAGGGGGGGAGGGTGAGCAATGGAGTTCTGGAAGGAGGGGTAAAGGCAATGGTGTGTCTTAGGAATGACGGTGGGCACTCGGTTTTCTCAGGAAGGCCGGTGGGCGCTGGAGTCATCTCAGGAAGGAGTAGAGCATTGGGGTCGTCTCAGGAAGGACGGTGGTAACTTGGTCGTCTCATGACGACTGTGGGCACTGGGGTCGTCTCGGGAAAGGAAGGTGGGCACTGGGATCGTCTCAGGAAGGAGGGTGGGCACTGGAGTCGTCTCAGGAAGGACGGTAGGCACTCGGGTAGTCTCAGAAACGAAGGTGGGCACTGGGGACGTCTCGGGAAAAGGACGGTGAGCACTGGAGTCCTCAGAAAGGACGGAATGCAATGGGGTCGTCTCAGGAAAAACGTGGGCAGGGGGTCGTCTCAGAAGGACGGTGGGGCGCGGGGGTCGCCTCAGAAAAGACTGTGGGTACTGGGGTCGTCTCAAGAAAACCGGTGGGTACTGGGATCGTCTAAGGAAGGATGGTAAGGCACTGGGGTCGTCTCAGAAGGAAGGTGGGCATTGTGGTCAACTCTGGAAGGCCGTTGGGTACTGCAGCCGTCTCGGGAAGGACGGTTGGCGCTGGGGTCGTCTCAGGAATGAGAGTGATCGCTGTGGTCGTATAAGGAAGAACGGTATGCACTGGAGTTGTCCCAGGACGGACGTTGGGCCTGGGGTCGTCTCGGGAAAGGGAAGGAGAGCACTGAGATTGTCTCATTAAGGACGGGGGCCTGGGATCGTCTCAGGAAAAAACAGTGGGCACTGGGGTAGTCTCGGGAAGGGCGGTGGGCACTGGGGTCGTCTCAGGAAGGCCGTTGTGCATTGGAATCGTTCTCAGGAAGGAGGGTAGGTGCTGGGTAGTCTCAGGAAGGACTGTGGGCACTGGGTTGTCTCATGCCCGTTCTTGGGCACTGGTGTCGTCTCAGGAAGAAGGAGAGCACTGAGTCGTTCAGGAAGGACGGTGAGCACTGGGGTCGTCTCAGGAAGAACAGTGGGCACTGGGGTCGTCTCAGGAAGGGCGGTGGGCATGGGGTCGTCTCAGGAAGGAAGGTGGGCACTGAGGTCGTCTAAAGAAGGACGGTGGGCACTGGTGTCGTCTCAGGAAAAAACGATGGGCGCTGGGGTCGTCTCAGGCAGGACGGTGGGCACTGGGTCGTCTCAGGAAGGAAGGTGGGCACTGGGGTGTCTCAGGAAGGAGGGGTGGGCACGGGAGTCGTCTCCGGAAGGACGGTAGGCGCTGGAGTCGTCTCTTGAAGGACGGTGGGCTCGGGGGTCGTCTCAGGAAGGACGGTGGCACTGGGTTCGTTTCAGGAAGGACGGTAGGCACTGGGGTCGTCTGGGGAAGGACGGTGGGCCACTGTGGTCGTCCCATGAAGGAGGGTCGGTACTGGGGTCGTCTCGGGGACGGACTAGGGCCCACTGGGATCGTCTCAGGAAAGAAGGTGGGCACTGAGGTCGTCTGAGGAAGGACGGTGGGCACTGGGGTCGTCTCAGGAAGGACGGTGGGCACTGGAGTCGTCTCGGGAAAAAACAGTGGGGCACTGTGGTCGTCTCAGGAAGGACGGTAGGCACTCTTGTCGTCTCAGGAAGGACAGTGGGCACTGGGGTCGTCTCATGAGGACGGTGGGCACTGGGGTCGTCTCAGGACGGACTGTGGGCACTGGGGTGTCTCAAGAAAGAAGGTGGGCACTGAGGTCGTCTCAGGAAGGATGGTGGGTACTGGGGTCTTCTCAGGAAGGACGGTGGGCACTGGGGGTCGTTTCAGGAAGGAAGATCGGCACTGGATTCGTCTCAGGAAGGACGGTGGGCACTGGGGTCGTCTCAGGAAGGACGGTGGGCACTGGGGTCGTCTCAGGAAGGACGGTGGGCACTGGGTTCGTCTCACAAAGATCGGTGGGCATTGGGGTCGTCTCAGGAAGGACGGTGGGCATTGGGATCGTCTCAGGAAGGCCGGTGGGCACTGGGGTCGTCTCAAGAATGGGCGTAACAGGAAGTAAGGACAATGATGTTGCTGGCGTTGAGCTTTGTATGATTTCCTTGAAATTTACCGTTTTCTTCTTGTTTGTGCAAATACACGTCTCAGAATGCTCAGTAATTTTGAAAGTCCTTCACATATATTCATACTTGAATGAGGGAGGCATCTCAGTCATTCAGTATTAATCTTCAAGTTAGGTACCACCGATTTAAAGTTCCTCATCCAGGTTCATTTTTGCTCTTACGTGAGTTGTGTTTTCAGGTATTTGGTGTAGATACACCGAGTGAAGATTATTATTATTATTATAATCAAGGGGGAAGCGCTAAACCCATAGGATTATACAGCGCCCAGGGGAGGGGGGGATGTGGAAGGCATTCAGGCTTAATTCGGGGAACTGGAGCACAGATCCAATTCCCTAAATCAAGAGCCCCTCACCAACATCAAGGAACCTTCCATGAGGGGCACCGAGTGAAGATTAGTTACAAATGTAACAGTGTAGATATAGTGTGGGAACTGTGAATACAACAAGGATAGTATGTATACATCGAGAACTGTATGAGTAGTGTATTTCATCTTAGGTTATGGTGGAGGCTGCTGTACACTGCAGTGATTCTCAACCAGGGGTAAATTTACCCCTTGGGGGCAAAAAATTACAAGGCAAGGGGTAAATATTTCTGTTCTGTTTTTGTGCAAAACCTGAATAATTTATTTTTATCTAACCTTCTTGTTTTTCTGCCCTCATTATAATGGCGATAAATTTTTGTACGGAAGTAAGGAGGTAAAGGAGAAATACATCAAGCCGGGGGGGCTAATGATGGAGGAAACGTTGAGAATCCCTGCTTTACAGAATCTTTGATAAATTGTGAGGGTTTTTACAGCGTGCGTTGTATAGTCAGGTTTTGTTGGCAAAGGTGTAGAAGAGTTGTTTTGGCACTCTTGTCGGGGCGTGGATTGTGTGGGCTGGAGTGTTGAACAGTGGGTTATGAGTCCAAGGATGTCGGAAAGCGGGTTTACTTGCAAAACTCTTAGAGCGTTAGTTGTATGGGGAAATTTTGTCTTAAAGTGGATTATATGGGCAGGGCTGTTAGAACACGAGATGTGTGAGCAAATGTCTTGAAGAGTGGGTTTTGGGGCAGGGGTGTAGGAGGGATGATGTAACAAATAGTGTAGATACAGCTTGATTTGTGTAGAAAGTGTACATAGAGCCTGAGTTGTTTAGGGCATTGTAGATACAGTCTGCGTTGTGTAAACAGTGTAGTACAACCTGGGGTTTTGTAGACAGTTTAGATACAGCCCGACTTGTGTAAACAGTGTAGATACAGCCTGGGTTATGGGGAAGTGAAGACATAGCATCGGTTGTACAGAACAGTGTAGATACAGCATCGGTTGTGTAGACAGTGTAGATTCAGCCTGACTTGAGTAGATAGTGAGGATACAGCCTGATTTGTGTAGACCGTGTAAATACAGGTTGACTTGTGTAGACAGTGAGGATACAGCCTGATTTGTGTAGACAGTGTAGATACAGACTGGGTTGTGTAGACACTAAAGATACAGCCTGGGATGTGTAGACAGTGTAGATACAGCTTGGGTTGTATAGACAGTGCAGATATAGCCTGGGTTGTGTAGAAAGTGTAGATAAAACCTGAGTTGTATAGACAATGTACATACAGTCACCGTTGTGTAGACAGTGTAGATACTGCCTGTGTGGGTGTTACTGTCTGGGTTGTGTGGGCAGTTTTGTTTCTGTGTGGGATGTGTGGTTAGTAATGTTACAGTGTGGGTTGTGTAGACAGTGTAGAAGTACTATGCGATGTGTGGCAAAAATTGCGCAATTGGGCAATTGTGTAGTGTTAAAGCGTTTGTTGTCTTTAGGGTTATGGTATAAAGTGGCCCGTGTGGATAGGGATATGTGGATAACTCATCGCCGGTTGTGTTGAAGCGCTGTTACATCGTGGGTTCCGTGTTATAGTTGGGGTGTTTGAGTAATACAGGAACGGTGTGGGTTGTAACAGTGAGTTGTAGTGTTATGACGCAGATTGTGAGGATATGAATATTACATGGTGGGTTATGTTGGGAGTTGTGTTACAAACCCTTCGTTGTGTGGATAATGAAGAAATAGCTTTGGTTTTATTAGTAGCGTGTTACAGCAAGAGTTGTTGGTAGTCAACAGTGACCGTTGTGTGGGTAGTTTGGGCACTGCATGAGTCGAACAGCGTCCCTTGTGTGGGTAGTGGTCACTGCACGAGTCGAACAGCGTCCCTTGTGTGGGTAGTGGTCACTGTATGAATAGAGTCGAAAATGTGTAAAGCAAGCAAGTGCAGGTAAGATCCCAATGGGATAGACGGGAAGACGGGACAGACGAAGAATAGCGCTGGAGAGGGGTGTTCTTAGTCGTAGAAATAGAGCCAGGGCTTGACCCAGCAGCTAAGGCGATCGTGGGACAGACTTTGGGGAAAAAACGGGAAGAGAGCAAGCTGTGTATGGAACTGAACTTCTCCAGGCTGAGGGACTGACAACCTCAAAATTCTACGACTTCAAGGCGATGGACCGACCCCACACCCCCCAAACCTCCAATGCTCCCCCCCACCTTCTGTACTGAAGAAGCCCACTTTGTAGGCGAAACGCCCAGAAACAAAGTCGCCCATCTGTTGCCTAATGTCTCACCCACCATTTTCGTGGTAGGTGAGGTCTTTGAGTCTCGAGAGCTGGAAGTTTCCCGGTCGCGGAGAGGGCAGCAGACATGTGGGAGGTTATTTCAGTAGTTGAGGAGGCAGGTTTGCAGTGGAGCCATTTGCAAACTTCTTGAAGCTGCTCCTGGAGAGGTGGTATAGCGTTGTCTTGTTGGAAAAGTGAAAACGAAGAGGCTTGATTGAACTCAAGAACTTTCGTGAGTGTGAATAAGAGGTGATTCGCGGCATACTTGGACTGTTCCATCACGAGGCCTTTGTATAGTTCAGAGCAGGTCATGGTGTCAGCGTTCGAGGGGGAGGTGTAAAAGTAAGGTTTTCCCAAGAGGGTGTGCTGGAGTCGTCGCTATCTGCTTCGTCGGGAGATTCGTCAGGAAATTCTTGTTCAATTGTTTCTACAGTGATTGTGTCAAGAGGGGGCTGGGAGTCTAGAGTAATTTGCGGTCTGGCTGGTTGTTGGTGGTTGTTGAGAGGTGGCAGTGGTCACTGGGCGTGGTTCAGGAGTGTTTTTTGGGGCAGAGTTAGGATTTGGGCCTGAAGTTAGTTTAGTTAGTTTAATATGTTTATTATGCACCCCATACCCATCCTGTGGGCGGTAGTCAAAAGATTACAGAGGTACATAATGGGTCCAGGGATGGGCCTCAAAGTTTTGATAGCCCGAGCAAGTTCAGAGGTAATGAATTCACAATTTACAAAGGTAATGAACTCACAATTTACAAAGGTAATGAACTCCAGGTAGGTCTAGTCACAATCATGACAAGTTAAAAAGGGTATTTACAGATTACAGGGTACACAATGGGTCCAGGACCGGGCTCCAAAGTTTGATGGCTGAACTAGGTACAAGGTAATGAACTCACAAGTTACAAGGTAATGAACTCACAAGTTACAAAGGTAATGAATACTGTAAGAATGGTTACTTACGTTTATACATGGCTGCAATCATGAACAAATTTTAGAGTAATGAGAAAATTCCACCCCTTCCACACCCAGTCCACAACTGTAGTGAGTTATTGGTGCAAATGTTTATTGCTGAGTTTCTCTCTCACACAAATCTCTCTCAGTACCCCGAATTAATCCCAATACATTATTACATTTAGGTTCTTCATCTCGGGGTAATCTTTATTTATTTTGTCCTTTAAATTTGGGACAATTACTACCCCATTCCTCAGAGAATATCTGCATTTTCATTATTTTTTTAGCCTCTCCTATTATCAACAGTTCCTCTTCAGATGATCAAAACCCCGGGAAATTGCCACAAAAAAATTGTTTATCATTACTTCACTCAATTGACCCCCTTTTTTTTTAAAGGTGTGTTTTTATCGTCGCTTGAAGTGGGAACCTGTACAGCCCTTGTGGCTTAGCGTTTCTTTTTTATTTAATAAAATTTGAAGTAGGAACGGATGGATGTAGCCCCAAAAATAAACTCTCCAAAAGCAAAAGGTTTTCAGAGGGTTAATTGGGCCACTGGGATTCTCAGGCCATAAAAAGTGGTACAATCCCGTCGCCTTTGTAAACCCACTTTTAAAAGCTTTATTGTCACCCGAAAGGCATAATTCTTATCTGAAATTTAAAAGATATCTCCTAATTTTTTGTCACGACGGCCCTGTCATCAGTCATTTAAATAGGTCAATTTTGTTACTCGGCACTACAATAAATAAAATCCCAGGGATGGTTTAGAATCCTTCTTCACTCCGCCCTGTTGAAAATAGTGACCATAAATTTTGGCTTGCTCGGAGGTACCTCCTCAAAAAAATTTTTTATTTAATTATTTAATAATTATTCATTGTAGGCAGTCAACAATTGGTGTCTTACTCATTTTGCAGAGCTGAGCCCTAATTGCCCCATATGCCCCCTGTAATTTTGTGCAATTCTGGATGGTTCAGTCTCCAGGGAAGTCGTACCCAGTATTGCTCGATTAAAATTTTTACTTTCCCCAGGTACTGTTCCTGGTAAAAGAATCGTCTGGATTTATGGAAAGACAAAAGTGAGGTATTTTAGTTCCCTCTAGTCAGCTTTATTGTGCAAGGAAGCCTGCCTTTAATTGCATGGCCCCCTGCAGTTTTTAAAAAGTTGAACAACATTTCTTTTTTCATACCCTTTACAAAGGGACAAATAGTCATCCCTATCAAAAATTTATGGGTTACAGAATTATCATTACGCCAGAAGGTCTAAATTTACATTATTGAAAGCCTTTCAGTGCTTTACCAGCCCTATTGTAGATATTTTTTTGGGGAAACCTAAAAAAATTACGGATTTATAAGTCTTTTTTCATTGCCCAAACTGACAGTTACTAAACAGTGTCATACAATTAAAGCCCTTTTTTCTGAGAGA